GGTGCCCCATTGGATCCCTCCATCGGTGTTGATTACGCTTCGGCCCTGTCGGACAGAGAGAAGCGAGCAGCGAAGCTCATGGCGGCAAAACGTCGTGTACATGTTGCCGTCGAACATTTTCTCGATCTACTCGAAATGTATATCGTTCCGACACATTTACCGGGCCGTTTCTTCTTCAGAAATGTCTACAGAATCCGATCATGGGCAGAGTTTTCGTGCTGAACAAAGAACTTTTTGTAAAAATACAAAAATATTGCGCAGAAACTGCTCACGTCGACACTTTTTTAAACTTTGATATTAATTTATTGCTATTTAGGACCAAAAACAATTAATAAATTGCATGCCATTATATTCGGGAAACTCTCCTCTATCTTTTAACACCAATTAGAACTTTCTAACGTTTGTACTTTTCATGCAATACCTCATTTTTGTCGAAAATTTGGGTTTTTACAAAAGTTTGTTTATTTAAAAAACTGAGGGTGATGGAGCAATTCGGTCTTCGGATTCTTGTTCAAGGAGTGAAGCTCTACAAGAATACCATAGTGGCTATAGGAACCCAAAAATCGTGTCGGACAGTGTTATTGAAATTTTTGAAAACCCATAAGTTACATTCGTAGCTAATGATTTTTAGTTTATGAATCTACAGAATTTTTTGATTTCAGCCCCCCATTCCGACTAACAGTCAATATTATACTCTACGAGAAAGAGTTTCGTAAGCAACAGATAATTTCGTATTTATCGAAGCTATGAACGAAACTAGGAATATAATGAAATGTTGTTTGCAGGTCTGGGTTAATAGAAAATGGTATTTTATTATCGCACCGACATTATCACCTCTGCAGTGAATGAGGCTAGAATGAAGTTGAGGCCCTGAAAAGGGCCGTTATTATTAAATAGAGATGCCTGTGGAACATAGGCAGGTTTATAAGTAAACATAATTGATCTTTTTATCGAATTCTTAAAATTATATTTGTGTCTTTGTCATTGCAAAAAGGGGGTTCACTCTAGTTTTTTTTTACAGTAATGATATGTATTCATTTTAGTAGCTACGTGAACACAAAGCGCGGTACACCGCGAAATTTTGTGGTTAACTTATACATACATACAATAGTACCCCCCATTCGCGATCTATCTTGGAATGGATAATTACGTGTTCGCGGGCTTCATTTTACATAAGAATCGCAGATGCAACATCTTCACCTCGTCCTTGTTCAGTTTCACTACACCCTCTTGGTTGTCTATGGAAAGTAGTGTGCCTACAGCTTCTCTGTCTTCACCGATTATGACCTTGACCCTGTCGCCTCGCGAGGGTACCACTGGTTCAAGTTCCTCGCAGACCAGGTTCACGACTCTATCTTCGACTGGCAAAAAGACAGCGCACATGCCACCCTATAATTAGATTCCAATCATGAATACTCTCAGCTGTTCAAGGTTATTTTCTCCGCCGTGAAATATTTTTAATTTTAATCGTTCGTACTCGTAGCAGTAGCTACAGCGTTCATATTTGTTTTCATTTCTAAGGATGACTTATAAACTTCTGTCGAAATAATCTTTTTATAAAATACATTGTGAACTTTAAAGTATGCTTGATAATACTCACGGATATTCCTCGAATAACACCCTGTTGTCCAGCGAGCAAAGTATCCTGATGAGTATCCCGAATTCTAACTTCAATGTCTGTAGTATGCCATTCGGTTCCTCCTATGATGCCAGCCCCGATACTGGTATCCAGACCTGCACCTGGTGTTTGCGGATTATAGGGACTACCTGCAACTCCTGTGAGGAGACAACATTGGAAGTATTCGCTACAACTGAAAAACGGTGGTGCTTGTAGAGTAACATTTACCAGGAGTCATTGGACTATAGCCCATCGGTGAGGGAGTAGCAAAGGCTCCATGTGGACTGGTGGTGTATCCAGTACCACTTGGTGAAGGAGTAGCAACGTAGCCTGCAGGACTAGGACTAGCTGTTGCACTCCCAGCTGGACTAGGACTCGGTTGGTACGAGCTGAAACTCTGCTCTGACCCATACATTGTGCCGGGTGTTTGTGGCGTAAACGGACCACCGGTGGAAGGGTAACCTGGAGCATAACCTGGAGATCCACCTTCCTCCATGCTGTAACTGTCAAAGTCATTTGTTCTTGCGGGAGTGTTAGTAACCGCTGGGTCCCAGGCTCCCGATTGTCCCGGTGTTCGTGAGCCGTCATGGGACGGTGTCATCGAGCCATAATGAGGTGTACGAGAACCATCTGCAAATATAGCATTGTAAAATTAGTATACTCGTTTCTTTGAATCGCGTGTAAAATGAATAAGTCAAACTTTGAAGATACTTACTCTCATACATAGGTGTCTGTGAACCATGCATAGGTGTTTTCGATCCATCTCTGGCATACATCGGAGTTTGACTGCCGGCAACGTAAGCTGGTGTTCTGTTGTAGCTGCTAAAGCCACCATCTCTGGTCGGCACACTGACATTCGCAATATGCGATCTGTCCACGGAGATGGTCTGACAGGAGGAATGCAACTCCACGCGTACTGTCGTCTCCGTGGTATCCTTTACAATTCCGACATTTCCTTTGTATGGTCCACCGGTTATCTTTATGGTGGTTCCTATTAGTTCTCTGTCTCGGCGGACTCCGCCACCGCGGTTTCTGCCGCCTCTTCCTCCACCACCGCCACCGCCTCTGGCAAAGCCACCTCTACAAACAATTTGTATGGCCCAAGGTTACTTTCTCTCTATCTCTGACTTTCAAAATGAAATATTTAAATGGTCTACCCTGCAAAAGATAACAGAAAAATTGTGGAAATCCTACTTACCCGCTAGGATGCATCGGCGAAGCTATTCTCGGTGACATAAATCCTGCTACTGGTGTCATAGAATTCATGCCAGACTTGTTCCCGCCAGAGAGTTGCAAGTGTCTCGTTTTGCAAACGAATATTCCACCGTTGTCTACGAACATCCTTGAATGTAGAAACGCGAAACTTCTGTACAGATGTTTGATCTCGCCACCTCTTCCAGCATGGGGGCCATCCACCACCTTCACAATGTCCTTCTTCTGTATGGTATTTTGCTGTGAGTCCAACGCAACCGCGTTTCTGTTCTCCCGACGTTTTGTTAAGCCTTGAGGTCTAGCTTCTAGCACTTTTCCATGCATGGACAGGACATGGAAATTCTCGCGTTCAAGACGAACAATTACACCTACTGTTTGTGCATCCAATTGTACTAAATCGCCCCACTGGAACTGACCTAAGCTGTCCACACCGGTGGCCATGTCGGAACAAAGTTGCAAATCTCTAGGAAGGACCTCGAGCTCGTGCATCGACAGGTCAGAGAATAAAACCACTCTATTTTGTTCTACCCGAACGATTAGGCCTGTGTCACCTTCGTACCTTCCGGCAACAACCTGCAAAAAATTGGTAACGTATAATTTGAACCAATCATTTTGTAGGAGCCGAAGGTTATTTATTATTATCGAAGCGACCTCCGAAATCACAACAGTCGATCGGTGCTCGCGAACTCCCATGCGTTAACCCCACGTAACGTACGTATGCGTGATCTAAACATCGCGACCCTGCTAGAACGATCGGCGGGTGTTAGGCGCTGGTCGAGCGAAACGGCCAAATCGAAAGAAGACTCGTAACGTTCAGCCGGCGCACCAACAAAAGGACGCGCTCGCAGAGCACAAGGCAGAACACGACGAACGTCGACACGCAATTTACGATCACGCTCACGAATACGATTACAATTCGGAATTATAATATAACGAACACGGTTTACGACTTCGGTGTGCGATTACGAGAATTATTGTGTACTGTTTTACTGTCTTTTTGTATTATATTTTGTGTGCGTCACTGTTTAGTAATAAATAAAACAGTTTTTTTTTTTTAGTCTTTACACATTGATTATTTTCATACGTACTTTCACGTGATCTCCCATGGTGAAGTACTTTCGCAATTCTGACGCTTGAAATTCTAATGCTTCCTTCAGTTCTTCGTGTTTGGGCATGACCATTATCATGTTTCCGTCTATCGAAACGATTTTTCCTTGCAAATTGATCAATTCACCCTCGCATACTTCGACATTGTCACCAGTACTGAAGGAATGTATCACAGCAGTATCCTCTTTGTTTCCAGACACTGGACCTCCACTTAAATCTATTTCAACACCTTCGGGAGCTTCTTCAAATCTTTCCAATTCGGAGAGAGTTGGTTTTACACCTTCCGCGATGATGGCGCTTGTTGTAAAATTTTTGTACAGGAATCTGGAACAAAATACATATTATATATTCTAATATATGTAGTATGTATTCTATCATGCCAAAGAAATAATTAATATAAGACATACCCCTTTCTGCTGTATCTGTTTCCTTCGAATATTAAGAAATCACCGTCACTAGTAACTTCTCCACCAATTGCTCGAATAGCTTCAGGGTCAAACGGCTTTGCTGCTGGTCTTCTCTTCTTTTTTCGTTTCAAAGCTTCGGATTCACTTTGCGCTGTTCTCAAAGCCCCGCGTGGCCTTGTATAGTCGATTCTGGGCAATAGCTTTAAGTGAACCTGATTCTGTGCCAAATCAACGTAATCAACTTGAGCTATATCATCTTTATAAATGCCCCTCTTCAATCTAACCCATTGCTTTGCTTTCAAGCCTGTCTGTTCTTTGACCACGCGTAACACATCAGTCATTTCCTTAATCGGTACCATTTGTTGCTTCCAGATACCCATTCTTAAATTTCCAACATTCTCGATAGCGGCTTTTACATGCGGCTGTTTGTAAGCCTCTATGTAAATATAACCTTTTACACCCTCAGGCGCGACAACAGATTTGATTTGAAGCGGTTCATCTAATAAATAAAATGATGTGGTTAGAAATAACAATAATTATTAATAAAAAATGCAGTAATAATGAATTACTACATACTTGACATTTGATACGTTATGAACTTCCGCATAAGTAGAAGCACAGTTGTCTTCTCCTCTCCAATGCGGCATTTTACCATCCATAAATTAGGATCTTTTACACCTGGTAGTAAAGTCTGCTGGGTAATTTCATCACTCATCTCTTCACCACCATCTCCGAAATGGCGAGCTGCCACAGACTCGTCTGCATACTTCTTTCTCAAGTATTCTTCTATTTCATCTTCTTTCTGAGAACTGTCAAAAATTGTAAATATTAATTTGGTCAAGACTGTTACAATACTTGTAGATGCCAATACTTACTCCCACAAATTAGTTCCTCTGCGTCTTCCTTCAATTTCCCTAGCAGTAGGACCTAACTCATCTACTTCATTCCCCACAATACCAATTTCTTGTGCACCCTCCTCCCATTCGTCATCATCCTCGACCTCATCATCTACTTCAGCCTCGTCTATGATGAAACCACCATACTTATCCTTTTTCTTTTTCTTTCTAGGTCTGTCGTCATCTTCTTCCTCCTCCTCTTCATCATATTCACTGCTTTCATCCAAATCTTCTCCTGAATATATATATATGAATCATAAAATAAACATATTCTAATACTCTAAATAATATTCTTTATACCTTCTGGTTCTTCTTCTGGTTCCACCACTTCTTCATCTCCAGACCTAGCTTCTTCTGCTTCGTCTCCTCTGCCATCCTCTGAACTAAAAATTTAATTTGAAAATACTTTTAGCAGACATGTTTCTGAAACATGTATGCATCACTCTAATTGTGAATTTAAAGTAATGCTGGTAATTCTCTTGCTTCATGTATTATTTTTACAGAAACTTTAGATGATCTTTTGATGATAGTAAGTGCTGCATCATAATATACAATGTTCTTTTCCTTGGAACATATTTCAGAGTATGAACTAATATAATAAAAATTGATCTATTTTAGTTTCAATAAACATGCATGAGTCATTACGAAGTAAAGTTTTTTTTGCACAATACACAAGATAGAAATTTTGCTTACCCAGATGCCGACCGGAATCGTGATCGTGATCGAGACCTGCTAGGACTTCTTGAACGTGATCTAGACGGACTTCTACTCCGGGAAACGCTACGTGATTTTTCTCCGACGCTGCCGGCATCGCTACCAGCTGCAGACTTCACAGAACGATTTTCATCCTGTTCGCTTTCGCTGCCACCGCCTCCACGTTCGCTCTCATTATCCGAAATATTACTCGCCTCTGAATCCGACATTTCGCCAAGAAATTATACGATTCTTGTCACACGCGAATATTACTAAGCAGTAGGATTATTAGGTTAGATCAACAAGACCCACGAGATCAACAGTAGAACTAAACGCCAGCCAAAAGTATGTACTGGATATAAACAATAAGCCACACTTATTTTTATTTCCCATAGTCTCTTATATCTTTATGATAATATTTGAAGTACATATATTTTTGTTTTAGATTTTTTTAGATTGATTCATCCTATCATCAACAACGTAGCAGCAGGGTCATCAGAGCCAACAAAAACATCGGAACGGATAAATCAATTTAATAAACACATGTACGTATATACTTCATTAGAAATGGATTTTTTGCTGTATACCACTATAAGATAGTGGTATAAAATTATTTTCTATCAATAAAAAATACAAATTTTTTCCCCTATTAGTTTTTAACTTTAACTGATTATTTTCCTTTCCTTAAATGTATTAAATACATTTTTTCGAAATTATATTGCTTCTTTTAGTTTGTATGACGGTGTACATAACTATTTTCGAAAAAAATGTACTTAATATATGCTTAATACATTCTGGCTCTAGAATCCAGAATTTGGATTACCGCTTCTAAACTGCCATATTGAATTTTAGTTCGACCAACTGCATACGGCACGCACTCCGGAAGGGTAGAATTTTCAAGAGCATACCATTATTTCAGAGCATACAAATTGAAAACTGTATATTAGATACATGTTTATTCCATGAAGAAAATTATTTCGATCACTGTATGCTAATTTAAACGATCTTCAATGTCTGTATAAATACATTGACTCGCATTAATATTCGGACACAATATTATTAGAAAAATTATTGCTCCTTTTCATTGTTTATGATAGTATTATTGAATCAATTATTTTCTCATATATTAAAGCACTTCTTATAGTAAATAGAAACATAAATTTTGTTTATTTATTGCGCATGTTCTTTTGTATAATAAGCGATAAACAAGATTGTGACAAAATTTAACGTCGCAAAAATATTCGAACATAACTTCTTAGATGCCAGAGTAAAATACTGTACTACATTGTCGACGCCGACGATCGTGGCTCGAGATTAAGGTCGTGAGTTCGATGCTCACCCAGGGCAATTTCCTTTTTATTCTTAAAATAGATAACATGATTTACAAAATATTTTATTAATTCTTCTCTTTTTTTAAATGTTTTACTCATACTATACATTACGAAGAGAAATATGTTAGGAAAGGATGAAGGTTCATTAAAAATTAAATCTGAGAGATATGTACAGATATTTTCAATATACAATGTTTAACGTACATGTTAAAAAAAAGATTATATTTTTACGAAGCATATCATATTATGATATAAATTTCTTATGTTCGCTTCCTTCTACATTCATTTGGATTTTTTTGCATCCAATACTTAACAGAACCTGATGGCCGTATAACTAACATAGCTGATTTAGAATGTACGTCGCGCATAATAAATGAGAATATCCAGCTACGTAATCATCCTACAGCAATGTACGACTGTCAACGTTAAGCCGTCTATCTATGAAACGCATGCGCATGAAATGAGCATCGGCACATGGTCTACCGGATGCGCATACAGATGGCAGCCATATTGAATTTTAGTTCCAAAGTTATTTCGTTATGTATCAGAGTTGTTTAGTAGCTTGAATTAGTAGCTTGAAAGTAAAATTTGAAACCAAGTTTGATGATATTTTTTATTATTGTTATAATTTTATAGTCTCTTAAGAATCATAGCAGTGTTTACACAATTTCAATTTTTCGATAATCCGTGTTAATACGTTTCTACTACATAGGTATTTTAAAATACCTCTTTTGTGTAATTTTATCGTGATATGTTAGTGGGCATAATATTTACTTATTAAATCTATAATAAAATATTTGGGAAATTTTGGCCATATCTTATAATTTCGAAAATAAATGTACAAATCAAAATGCTGAATCTATAAACTTCAGCAAAATATTCGACACTGAATTTTCAACACAAACGAAAAATGTTGAAGTTACACATACAGTAGNCAGGACATTGGAATAAATATAATGACAGAACAAGATGTAGTAAATGAAGTGACAAACAAGAGACAATTGAGAAGATTGATTTTGTCCTGCCATATGATTTAATAATACAAAGTGCACATCCTGAGAATATAAAATTTGGTAATATAGTGTAATTTACATGTATTCAAACTGTTATTTAACATATGTATCAAAATGTATTTTATATAGTAATCGTGATATCATATTTATAGTTACCGAGTTTTCCAAGAAAACAGGTGATTACACAAGTTTATCAGCAACTGACATAAAAGTAATTGCATTAACATACCAACTGGAAAAGGAGAAAGTAGGAACAGGTCATTTAAGAACTGTTCCACTTGTATCAAAAACTATAGATTACATTGTCAGTCAGACTAAGGATTCTCATACTACATTAGCTGGTTTTTACACACATGCCAGAGAAAAATGTAAGCATACAATATTTTTTAACTAATATATGTAAAACTGAATATGACTATTAAAATCTTTTTATGTATAGGAGGCTGTAGAAGAAAAAGATACAGAGAAATATGATTCAGAAGAATTAGGTAACGAGAATGATTTGAAGAATAATGATGAAGAAAAAGTGGAAATACAAGTGGAGGACAAAGTAAAAGATAGCAATACTGAAGAAGAAAAATCAGAATCATAGTATAGTGGTTCTTTTTTAACATGAAATTTGTCATGTATTAATACCGCAACCATAACTATTTCATTTTCTCGAGATTCAAAATTCAATAATGTTCGTACATTTAAAGTCATTATTGTTAATGGTGGTGAAGCTTGAGCCTTGGAACAAACTGATATGTTCTCCATTTTCGCACAAGTCACCTGTTGCGTTATACAATTTGTTGAGCTTTAGAACTTAACGATAGATCAAATCTAGAGATTAAATTATTATACCTTTATTTTACTCCAACAGATTT